AGCTGGGACTACAGGCACATGCCACTAAGCCTGGCTAGCTCTCTGATTTTGTTTTTTTAATTTTTTAAATTTTTTTTTTTTTACAATTTTTTTTAATTTTTTTTTTTTTTATATATATATCTTTTTTACATTTATTATACATTTTTTTACTTTTTCTTTCTTTTTTTCTTTTAATACATATGTATATTTTTTTCTTTTTCATATTTTTCTGCATATTTTTTTTTTTTTTTAAGCAAACCGTGCGGTTGTTTATATTATACTTTAGTACAATAAATTACAATCTGGTAAGCATTACATAAATTAAAAATGAATTTGCGAATTTTTCATGGAGTTTGTTTAGATAGCTTAAACTATGTAAACCTGCTTTTAATACTATAAACGAACTTTTCATTCTATTTCTCTACAAAGCATTGAAACAATGAGCATGTTTTAACTAAAGAAAATGTTTTAAAACCGAAAACTCAATAAGAAACAAAACAAATAACAATTATGATTTGAAAACAATCTTTCTCTAACAATAAAATAAAGTTTTCCAAATTAATGAAAAATAAATTAAATCAGTCATAAAATTTTTATTTTTAAATTTTACATTTCAAAATATAAAAAAATAATATTCGTTTGGAATAAGAAACTTACTGCGGAAACCATATTTTTGGTGTAATGGAACTCTTATTTGAAAAATTTAAGTTGACGTAATTGACTACATTTGAAATTAATGACATATGATGATAAAAAAAAGTAAGACATTGGGGAAAAAAAACTGCAAATTAATAATCTATTATTGATGCAAATTTATGGAAAATCAGCTGAATCCGTCATTATTTTACTCATAAATACACATTTGCAGTAATGAAAAAGATAAAATTTGGAATTTAAGAAAATTTCATGTCCAACCATTTTACATTGAATTTCATTTATTTAAAACACTGAAACCTATTGTATGTTTATGACATATTTTCAAGTAATTTACTATAAAAATATTCAAAATGTGTAAGATACACCTCCATAGAATGGCAAATTTTTGACATTGATTATATTTACATTGCAAACACTTCAAGAAAAATAGAGGAAAATACATTTTAAACTTAAAAGAATATAACTGAACTTAAGACATTGATATTTGTTTATTAAGATTATCAAAAAACTTATTTTTTTCAGTCACCCCCATTTTATTTAGTTTGTTGCCTCTGTTTATAGGCGTGAATGTCATTGAAATTAGCACTCTTTGAATAAATAGTTCGACACTATTATGTGACAACGTTGTGCGGGAGTAGGATCAAAGCTCTTTTTACCAAGCAATAGAGTAAACCAGAACACGCATATCTGTTGTTTCACCAAAATGTCTATCCTGCAGAGTATATATCAACACCACCACTTGATAAAGCTCAAGTAATGTTGATTGTTGCAATATCAAACAATAATGTCGAGACCTCATGCATGCAAGTCCTGAATAGAATTTCTGCGCATGAGTAGAACAAATGTCACTGGGAGATTTTTCTCACTATGTCACATTAGGAACTGTCTCACTGTGCTACATGGGGAGAAGTCACACTACTATACACGGGGAGATGTCATACTATTTAGATCATGATTCAAAAAGGAAGTGAGTTAATATCTGAATGGTCAAACTCAGTATAAGTTCCACTAATTGTCCGCTTTTATCTGTTTCCAAAAAGATTCTTTATCATCAGACATGTAAGGGGAAAAATATTTCACAAAATAGGAATAATTTTTAGCAAAAATGATAATTTTTTTATAGGAATTTTAAATAATAGCTTATATAGTTATTGGCAATATATAACTATTTTTTTCATTTTTTTCTGTATATTTTTTTTTGGATTTTTTTAAGCAAACCGTGCGGTTGTTTACATTATACTTTAGTACAATAAATTTCAATCTGGTATGCATTACATAAATTAAAAATGAATTTGCGAATTTTTTATGGAGGCTGTATAGATAGCTTAAAATAT